TCTCTCAATTTGTTGATGTTCTAATTTGAGGATTTTTTTTATAGAGTTTATGAAGTATCAATTAGGATTTGCAATTGAAACTTATGAATTATCAATTAGGGATTTGCAATTGGGGCTAATCAATTTCAGTTTATGAGTTATGAATTATCAAATATGAATTGTAATTGATTTTATTGTTTTTGCTTATTAAATAGGTGTAATTTTATTATTTTTTTGGTTTTCAATGAAATTACATGGTATGGTTGAGTTTTCTATCTACTTAGTACCTAAATATAGCCCACCTCATTTTGAAATCCTTGGTCCATCCTGGATCCGAGGCCAAGAAGTTGACCTATGAAAATGAACAAAAATAGAATTTACATTCAATAATGCATTTTTAGCTCACATTCATACCACTAAATGTAAAATCTATGAAAAACACAGAAAGGAAGTAAAATGCTATAAAATATCAAGAATTAACTCAAAATATTGGATGAATAACATGATAAATCATGTGTAAAAATGAACTCAACACTTTCTAGGAAACTCATGGAAATATCATTAGATGAAAAACTGTTATGCTGTATGAGATCAGTTCACAAGACCAATACCACAGTAGTAGTCATATATTTCAAACATGAGGGTAACCAAATTGAAGAGGCACAGTTGGAGGAACAAGTACATGAGCAAGTTGATGATGATGGTACTGAGACTGATGATGGTGAAGGTACTAATACTGATGTTGTGAAGGTACTGATGAAGAGGGTGATAACAAAGATCCTGATTTTGTTGATAGCGATTATGAACAAAGTGAAGTTGAGGAGTGCTTGTTGAAACACGATGACAAGTGGTTTGATGGCTATGTTGATATGATTGACATTGATCCTAATGTAGAGAAAGATGATGATGAGTCAGATCATGGAGAAGACTCACCTACACTTGGAAGCACATGTAGTTCTTCTAGTGAAGATGAAGCAATTGCTAATTTGAGGATGAGGAGGAAGAAAATGCCAAATGGTGAGGATTTTAGGCTTGAAACTAATATGGCAAACCCACCATCAATAATAGAGCATATCGTCAATTATGGGGATTGGGGTCCGGACATAGGTCACCAACAACACACACAAGCACCGAAATCTAGAGTTTGTGCAAACTCACATATATCATAGCAAATTCATGCCACAAATAAACTATTTTATTAATCATAAAAAAACTTCCCTACAACTATTACATTAGCTTATTTATAGACTTTACAAAACTTGGGCACCAAGGTTACTTGGTCCAAAAGTAAGCTAATTAATTACAAAATCACACATAAATAATAAAAGATATCCTAAAACTACCTAAATAAGAAAATAATTGTAACAACCCGATCCTTAATTAATTTTTTAACTATTATTTTATTCAAAGAAAGGACTAGAATACCCTCAAAATATTTTAATGGTTTAAAAGTTAACTTTTTATTCAGGAAGGAATTTGGGGATTTCAGTTGTACCGTTGCGTAGAGCACGTCGAAATGAGTCCGTAGACACGTAGTGAACTCAAATCGGAGTTGTAACGAAGAAATGGTAATCAAAAGAAGTTCATTGGCATAACAGTAAATATTTCGAAGTTTAGTTAGTTTTAAACCTAGAATTTCTGCATTTCGGGGGGGCTCGATCAAACGACTTCTAGAGGAGTTTCTCTCAACTCCAACCACCAATTCAAGCAAGACCAGTCCCGTTAGAACTTCCACACTTCCCTCTTCCAGCCCCAGTTCTTTGTAGCCCCGATCCACCGCTGTAGTTGCCGGAAACAACCAAGAAACAAGCGGTGTTGGACAGATTTTTGTAAACTTTCGTCGGCTCGTTCTCTGTCATCCGGCCACCATTTTCGGCAATCCAGGTATAAAAATTCATCTATTTTTCGAGCCCTAGCTGCTGGTTGGGTAGGATTTCAGAAATTTTTAGCGTAGATAACTCGATCTTGGATCCAAAGTTTAGCCGGATTTCGGGTTGAGATTCCGGCCACTTCCTACCAGTTTTTGGGGTAGGTCTAAGAACAAAAGTGGCTCCAAATAGGGTGTTACACTTAGGGTAGGAGTCTTGAGCAGTGATTTGGAGTTTTTCTGACGAAGCATTATTGCTTTAGGCACCACATGCTGCCAGCTCGTGTGCCGGTGCTGGGCAGCAGGGTGGGGACCACAATTAGTCCTAAAATAATCCCTTAGTCCTCACGAGCACGTAGGATTTCATGGATCTTAATTCGGATAACGTTTGAACCCCGAACGGATCTCGCCTAGTGTGGGATTTCCGGGTTCAGCATGTTTGAGCCGTTGGATCGTAGTCATGTTTAGGTATGTTGACTCAGGTAATTACAGAATCGTATAATAGTTGATGGATCGTAAAACGGAGTTCCAAATAATTTAGAAACGCCAGCCTTAGAGATAGGTTTACAGTAAACAAGTCCGGACCGAAAGGAGTTATCTAAATCCTATTATGGGATGAGCAGATAGTTAGTTATATGTTGCGGCCCGGATAGTAGCAGTATCTCCGAGGCCTACCAGTTTGCAGTTCAGGAACGGAGGAAAGAACTACGTGTGGTTTGATCCCTCAGTAAGGGTACGTAGGCAGCCTACAATTTTATGGTGCAGCCACGAGTTAGAGCCTTTGAGTTTGTGTTCTTGATTTTCAGGGCATTTTGGTCATTTGTGACCCACACCCACCAAATGTCAGTATTAAACAGGATTCAGCCCGGATTCCAAAGTAGAATTTGGGTCGTGTCCTTTCAATAACAATATCTCAAGAAATAACAAATTAAAGGGTAATATCTATCCTGATCCACCCCTATGCTCCTGCGTCAATCAAGGACTTCTTTTACAATTCTTGTTCCAAGTTATAGTCCACCATTTCTCACCATATACTTGCTGTCAATTTTGTATCAACAAGAGATCCCTCCCTCCTTTTCCCACTCAAAACTGTAAGTGATTTCTTTTATTCTTTCTTTTACATGTTCTCATCATGGACATATATAGATTTGAGAGGATGTTTCCTATGCATGGTTAAACCAATAGCTTCAGTCAAATTCCCAAAACACAAAATATTTCCCAAGAAACCAGTTTAAGACATTTGCATTCACACTCACAACAACAGATTTGAGAGGATATTTCCTATGCATGGTTAAACCAGTAGCTTCAGTCACGTCCAAATCCTTGTTGGTTGCTCCACCAGGCAATTTCCAATCAAACTTATGTACTATATTTACTAAAGCAATCTCAGTAACATCTGTGGCAAATTGAACTTACACAAGAATATGGAACTTGCACGGATCTTTATTTTTGTTTGGATGAACAAACACTAAAGGAACACTTTAGATACTCTTAAACAAAACTCTAATTTCATGATCTTATGTGTTTCACACATCCAACCTTCTAAAATGAATATAGAAAGAAAATATGTTCTAGAAAAACCTCATTGGTAATGCAAGATAAGATCACAGTTAGAAAAGATCACCATGGGGCATTTTCTTCTTCTTTTGTCTTTTACCTCCTCTCTTTTTGACTTTCTTTGTGAGAGTAATCTAATACTAGTCTTGTTTCAATTATCTTTCCCACTTTAATTTAATCCCGCGAGATAAAGCTACTGACTTTTCCCCATCTCATCAATCATGTATACTTGAGTTTGAGTTTTTCACCACACACCACCATGGTTAAAAATTCAGAAACTACCCTGATTTTGAATTTCCAAAAACTCAAAATATTCCGAACAGACCAATTTAAGAAACTTGAAAATGTGTATATGGTGAGAAAACTTGCATTGACACATAATATTTTGACAGTTCTTATTGTGCTATAGTATCTTGGCAACAGTACTGACAGCTGAAGCCATAGACATACAAGCCCTAGCTGCTGGTTGGGTAGGATTTCAGAAATTTTTAGCGTAGATAACTCGATCTTGGATCCAAAGTTTAGCCGGATTTCGGGTTGAGATTCCGGCCACTTCCTACCAGTTTTTGGGGTAGGTCTAAGAACAAAAGTGGCTCCAAATAGGGTGTTACACTTAGGGTAGGAGTCTTGAGCAGTGATTTGGAGTTTTTCTGACGAAGCATTATTGCTTTAGGCACCACATGCTGCCAGCTCGTGTGCCGGTGCTGGGCAGCAGGGTGGGGACCACAATTAGTCCTAAAATAATCCCTTAGTCCTCACGAGCACGTAGGATTTCATGGATCTTAATTCGGATAACGTTTGAACCCCGAACGGATCTCGCCTAGTGTGGGATTTCCGGGTTCAGCATGTTTGAGCCGTTGGATCGTAGTCATGTTTAGGTATGTTGACTCAGGTAATTACAGAATCGTATAATAGTTGATGGATCGTAAAACGGAGTTCCAAATAATTTAGAAACGCCAGCCTTAGAGATAGGTTTACAGTAAACAAGTCCGGACCGAAAGGAGTTATCTAAATCCTATTATGGGATGAGCAGATAGTTAGTTATATGTTGCGGCCCGGATAGTAGCAGTATCTCCGAGGCCTACCAGTTTGCAGTTCAGGAACGGAGGAAAGAACTACGTGTGGTTTGATCCCTCAGTAAGGGTACGTAGGCAGCCTACAATTTTATGGTGCAGCCACGAGTTAGAGCCTTTGAGTTTGTGTTCTTGATTTTCAGGGCATTTTGGTCATTTGTGACCCACACCCACCAAATGTCAGTATTAAACAGGATTCAGCCCGGATTCCAAAGTAGAATTTGGGTCGTGTCCTTTCAATAACAATATCTCAAGAAATAACAAATTAAAGGGTAATATCTATCCTGATCCACCCCTATGCTCCTGCGTCAATCAAGGACTTCTTTTACAATTCTTGTTCCAAGTTATAGTCCACCATTTCTCACCATATACTTGCTGTCAATTTTGTATCAACAAGAGATCCCTCCCTCCTTTTCCCACTCAAAACTGTAAGTGATTTCTTTTATTCTTTCTTTTACATGTTCTCATCATGGGCATATATAGATTTGAGAGGATATTTCCTATGCATGGTTAAACCAATAGCTTCAGTCAAATTCCCAAAACACAAAATATTTCCCAAGAAACCAGTTTAAGACATTTGCATTCACACTCACAACAACAGATTTGAGAGGATATTTCCTATGCATGGTTAAACCAGTAGCTTCAGTCACGTCCAAATCCTTGTTGGTTGCTCCACCAGGCAATTTCCAATCAAACTTATGTACTATATTTACTAAAGCAATCTCAGTAACATCTGTGGCAAATTGAACTTACACAAGAATATGGAACTTGCACGGATCTTTATTTTTGTTTGGATGAACAAACACTAAAGGAACACTTTAGATACTCTTAAACAAAACTCTAATTTCATGATCTTATGTGTTTCACACATCCAACCTTCTAAAATGAATATAGAAAGAAAATATGTTCTAGAAAAACCTCATTGGTAATGCAAGATAAGATCACAGTTAGAAAAGATCACCATGGGGCATTTTCTTCTTCTTTTGTCTTTTACCTCCTCTCTTTTTGACTTTCTTTGTGAGAGTAATCTAATACTAGTCTTGTTTCAATTATCTTTCCCACTTTAATTTAATCCCGCGAGATAAAGCTACTGACTTTTCCCCATCTCATCAATCATGTATACTTGAGTTTGAGTTTTTCACCACACACCACCATGGTTAAAAATTCAGAAACTACCCTGATTTTGAATTTCCAAAAACTCAAAATATTCCGAACAGACCAATTTAAGAAACTTGAAAATGTGTATATGGTGAGAAAACTTGCATTGACACATAATATTTTGACAGTTCTTATTGTGCTATAGTATCTTGGCAACAGTACTAGAGGATATTTTTTATGTGCGGTTAAACCAGTGGTTTCTGTCATGTCTAAATCCTCCCCACTTGCTTCATCGGGCAATGCCCAATCGAACTTGTGCACGATGTTTGCTAAGGCAATTTCATTAACAGCCATGGCAAACTGAATTCCTGGGCAGACCCTCCTACCAGCTCCAAATGGAATCAATTCAAAGTCATTCCCTTTGTAATCTATACCATTATTCAAGAACCTTTCTGGCTCATACTCCTCTGGTTTGTTATACAGCTTGGGATCTCTTCATCTATACCAATATTCAAGAACCTTTCTGGCTTATACTCCTCTGGGTTGTCATACACCTTGGGATCTCTTCCAATTTGCCATGCGTTGATGAAAACATGTGTGTTGGCTTTAATGTTGTAGCCATTTACTTCCACATCTCGGATTGACATCCTGGGAAATAGTAGTGGAAGTGGTGGATGAAAGCGAAGAGTCTCCTTCGTCACTGCCTTCAAGTAGTGCATTTCAACCAAATCATCCTCTGTAATCATGTCTCTTTTGTTTCCGACTATTCCCCTTACCTCATTCTGCAATTTGTTCATGACCCTAAAATGCCTTAAAAGCTCAGTCATTGCCCACTCTAAGGCAGTATATGTGGTATCAGTGCCAGCAGCGAACATGTCCTAAAAACAATTGATTGGATTAAGATATTTAACCTAATGCAAAATATATAAATATAGGGAATGGCTAAAATTGTGGGATATGATAGTGGTGTGAGCCTTTATGGTGAGGACTTATTTTCTGCAACTTTATCAATAGGAATACCAGCCAAGTTTTCTTTCTGAATTGCAAGCAAAACGTCCAAAAAATCCTTTTGGTCATCATCTCCACTCTTTGAACTATGGTTCATATGCTCTTGAACCGCTGTATCTATAAAGTCATCCAACTGCTTAGCCACCTTGTCTAACTTGGCTCCCAAACCATTGATATGGCTCAACCAAGAAAGCCATGGGATATAGTCCCCAATATTAACAGTTCCCAGTAAGTCAGTGAGATCCCCTAAAAGCTTCTTAAACATCCTCCCACTTTCCCCACCATCCCCGTCATTGTACTTCCTCCCTAAAGCCACTCTACACACCACATCATTAGTAAGCCTCACAAACATTTCGCTTAAATTCAAAACAGACGATGATGATGATGATGAATCATTTATGTATCTGATCATGGATTTGGTTTCCTCTTCCCTCACAGAACGAAAAGACCTAAGCATGTGTAATGTGGGTCAGGCTAGGTGCAATGACGCTTATTTCTGCCTCTATGTGACTTGCCAAATGTCTAGTAGCATTTTAGGTGAAGTAAAAAAGAGTCTACATGGTTCAAACCAAAAAAAAAAAGAGTCTACATGAAAATAGAGAGGAAAACACCATTTTCGCGGGGTCATGAGTTTTCAAGATCTCCCGGGCTGCCTCAGCTGAAGACACAAGAAGCACCGGGACACTTCCAAAGTGAAGAAGCATGAGAGGGCCATGGCGTTGGGACAAGGCTTGAAGTGAGCGATGAGGGTACGAGCCTATCTGGTGAAGGTTTCCAATGATAGGTAGCTTTGGTGGAGAAGGTGGTGGTGATGATTTTTGGGTGGCAGTTTTAGTGGAAGAGTACCATGTGTATAGGAAGATGAGGAAAATGGCCAGCAGTGTGAAGGACAAAGGTTGCAAAAAGGAGGAGCTTTCATTTAGCTCTTGCAATACTTGCATGGTATTTAGCATCTTCAGGGTTAGTGCTAAGAAAAGAATGTGTTGTGTGTTTTTTATAAAGGCAAAGATCATCCTACCACGTAGAACAGAACCATCCGTGGTTCCATAAGAAAACAAAACAACAAGAGGATAGGACCACCACCTCACAACTTTGAGTGTGAGCATTCTGATGGTCCATTTGTAATAGGAGAGCCATGTGTCGGCCAACTTGGAGCCACATAAAAGTTTATGGACTTGTTTGTTTGTTTAAATTTGTTATCTTATTCTTTCCTTCTTTCTTCTAGGGATGAGTTATTCCACACGAATTCATCCACTTGAGCAGAAGATGTAAATAATATATTTACTTGTATTAAACAGATTACACAAAGTCCCTATTTATACTGATACAAGAAATTTACTTAAGGCAGGAAATAATATAGACATGAATACAATCCGATTTACAGCAGGAAAAGCTAATTACTAGGAGGAGGTTGTGAAGTTGACTTCTGTGTGTGCTAGGAAAGGAAAGCTGTGTTAACACCCCTTGCAAACTGGGCATCACATGATGCACAAGTTTGGAAGACATATGTTGATGGCGTGGTTTGTGAAGGGCTTTGGTAAACAGGTCTGTAGGTTGGTCTACAGAAGGAACAAAGCAAACTTGATGACTTCCAAGAGCAATCTTTTTACGGACAAAGTGATAGTCTAACTCAATTTGACATGTGCGGGCATGGAAAACTGGATTGGCAGCCATGTACATGGTGCTGAGATTGTCACAAAAGAGTTGGACCGGAAACCAAAGACACACACCCAATTCATGAAGAAAGGAACGGAGCCAAGTGGTTTCGGCACAAGCATGAGAGAGGGCATGGAATTTCGATTCTATACTAGAGCGCGAGACTATGGATTGTTTCTTGGAACACTATGAGATGAGGTTAGTTCCAAGAGTAATCACATATCCAGTGGTTGACCAACGAGAATCAAGGCACCCAGCCCAGTTTGCATCAGAGTAGGGGAAGAGGTGAGCTATAGCAGTTTGAGGAGTGAAGGTGAGGCCGAGATCAATGGTGCCCTTGATGTACCTTAGTATCGGTTTGGAGCAACAAGGTGAGAGGTGCGAGGGGCACTTATGAACTGAGCAACAATGTTGACGAGAAAAGATATGTCAGGACGAGTAAGAGTGAGATACTGTAAACTGCCAACAAGATTGCAATACTCGGTTGGGTTGGAGATTAGAGCACCATTAGAGACATAGAGGAGAACCTAGGCAGCCAATGGGGTAGATGTGGGTTTGGAGTTGAGAAGATTGGTTTTCTGTAAAAGATCATGTGCATATTTGAGTTGATTAACGTGGAAAGTGTCATCCTTATGAAAAACCTGTAAACCTAAGAAATAGCTTAGCAAACCAAGGTCTTTGGTGTCAAAGTGGCCACCTAAAAGAGAGATGAATTGTTGGAGATGAGTGGAATCACTGCCAGTTACCACGATGTCGTCGACATATAGAAGAAGAAAGATAGTATGGGAGGCCTGTTGAAAAATAAATAATGAAGTGTCAGCTTGGCTCCGTATAAAGCCCATAAAGAGAAGGAAAGTACTAATGCGATAGAAACAAGCACGAGGTGCTTGTTTGAGGCCATAGAATGCTTTATGGAGCTTGCAAACATGAGAAGGACGAGTGGGATCAATGAAACCAGGGAGTTGAGCCATGTAGACATCTTCTTGAAGAAACCGATGGATAATGGTATTTTTGACATCAAGTTGACGAAGGGACCAATCACGAGAAACTGCAAGACTAACAACAATGCAAATGGTGGCAACTAGACGGGCTTTAAAGCGTTCAATGGAGTCATCAGAGTGACTTTTAATTTGAAAAACCCACTTACACCCAACTAAGTTCTGAGAAGGAGAGGAAGGAACCAAAGACCATGTATGATTTTTGAGAAGTGCATTGACCTCTTTAGTCATGGCATCATGCCATTCAGGATGCTTAGTAGCCTGTGAAAAACAAATGGGTTCAGTATGATTAACAACAATTAATAGGGCACGGGAAAATGGGTAGTATGAAGCTTGGGCTTTTGAATGTCATCTTGAAGGCGGGTGCGCATGCGAGGAACAAAGGCAGGAGCGGGAGAGAGGTGTATGCGAGGGCGTCGGGAATAAGTTTGGAGCAATAGCTGAGCTGACTCCGAAGAAGTGTCGCAGAGTGGAGCCAAATGAGGTAATTGGAGTCAGTAAGCTTGATAAAATGAGAAGAGTTGGGGGCTAGGGAGGGAGATGGTGGATTCAAATAAAGCCATGAGGTGGACCTAAAGAAGAGGATTGGATCGAATAAGGGAGAGGGAGGAAACATAGGTAAGGTTGATACATATAAAGAATATATTTCCTTGTATTAAACAGATTACACCAAGTCCCTATTTATACTGATACAATAAATCTACTTTAAGGTAGGAAATAATATAGACATGAATACAACCCGATTTACAGTAGGAAAAGCTAATTGCTAGGAGGAGATTGTGAAGTTGACTTCCGTGTATGCTAGGAAAGGAAAGCTGCGTTAACAGAAGACAACAAAAAAATTTAGATGCTTTTGGAAAGCATACTGTGTTCGGCCGAGTTCCGTGCCTCATTTAAGTTTCTATCTTGTACATAGAAAAATTAAGGGTAGAAATTTGTTTTCATGTAGATCCAAAAGACTTTAAAATCAAAATCCAATCTAACATCCAAGTTTAATGGGAAATACACATCTTATCTATGGATGACAGTCTAAATTCCTAGATTTTTTTTTTTTTTTTTTTATCAAGGAACAATATAAAGAATCATTTTATATAGGCTAAGCATGACTCAGTATTTCATGATCTTATGCTTTCCTTTGGGCTTCTGTTATGAAACTTAGAGGTGACACAACAGAAAGGCCTTCACAATCATAAAATGGGAAAGCAAGAGTTCTCGGAAAACCTTGGGGCTGCCGTAGCTACAAGAGGAGCTTTTCTATGGATGACAAGGCCAGTACATTCTCTTGCTCCCCCAGGCAATGTCCAGTCAAACTTGTGCACAAGTAACACAATCTCATTAGTGATCATGGCAAACAAAGATCCTGGACAGCCCCTTCTTCCAGCTCCAAATGGGATTAATTGGAAGTCATGCCCTTTGAAATCTACAGAAGAGTTCAAAAACCTCTCTGGTTTAAACTCCTCTGGTCATCCCACATTGAGGGGTCTCTTCCAATTGTCCAAGCATTGATCAGGACCATGGTTCTTGCTGCTATGTCATAACCCTTTATTTTAGCCTCTTTAGTTGATTCGCGAGGAACCAGTAACGGTATTGTAGGATACAACCGAAGTGTCTCTTTTATCACTGCTTTTAAGTATGGAAATTTATCTAAATCGCCTCCAGTTATGTCTGCTTTGCCATTAGCAATTCCCATCACCTCATCTTGCAGTTTTTTCAAGACTCTCGGATGCCTTAAGAGTTCAGTCATTGCCCACTCTAGAACTGTGTAGCTAGTATCAGTTCCACCACCAAAAATATCCTGCATAAACCAAGAAAGATCTTAGTTCACCCCCGAAATCAATTAGCAACGGATGGAGAAGTATAAGATTTTATATATTCTGATGTAGGTATCTTAGGCACATAAAGATATTGGGCTTTCTTGCTTTAGTTGTGGAGACAGAAGAGACTAACCAAAATGATACCTTTGATGCTATCCCTATCAATGGAAGAGCCAGCATTCTTTTGCTTTTGAATTTCAAGCAGAACATGCACAAGATCCTTCCTATCTTCACCTTCAACACTCATATTATCACCACAGCTCTCTCCTTTCATGTTAGGAGAACACATATGCTCATCAACTACAGAATCCAGAAACTCATCAAACTCCTAGCAACTTTCTCCACTCTTGCATCTAAACCATTAATTTGACTAACCAAACAAAGCCATGGAATAAAATCCCCTACATAAAAACCACCCAACAAGATCATAAACTTCCCAAGCAACTTCTTAAATTTCCTTGCACCTTCATCTCCACTATACTTAGCCACCCTAAATCACATCATTATAGTTAGTGAAGCAAACAACTCACTCAAATTCACAGGCAATGACAGCAGAGAAGACTGTTTCACTTTCTCAGTCAGCAAGGCCAGTTCTTCTTCTCTTACACTCTTAGCTTCATACATAAGTTTATCGGCAATGGTTGATCTGGCTTTGTTAGAGAAGATGATATCATTTGTTTTCATGATCTCACGAGCAGCGTCTGCAGAAGAAACTACGAGCACTGGTTGCATACCAAAACGAAGCACCATGAGTTCACCGTAGGGCTGAGCTAGTCGTTGTAGGGATCGAAGAGGGTAAGTGCCTAGTTGGTGGAGGTTTCCAAGTATTGGTAGACGTGGTGGTGAAGGAGGCAGGTTTTTGTGTTTTGGTGTATCGGTAAGCCTTTTGATGAGGAAGATTGTGAAGATGAGGAAGGGAAGGGCAATTACAAATAGGTGCAACATAGCTACTAGTTGCTCAATACCTAAGAACTCAATGTCGAATGTTG